AATTTCTAACATTGGAGCTTCAAGTAAATGAGATCAGTATATAGCATGCCCAGCATATGGCTCATCGAAAATTAACATCAACCTTAAGGCTGAGACTTGTAGAACGTAAAATGATTATCATTAAAAAGAGCATCTTCAAAAAAATGCATAAGTAGCATGCAGCAGACAAATTACTATTATATTATTAACAATCAAATGAACTACGACATCAAATTCTAAACACAAATGTCGTGCAGATGCAGAGAATTTATTTAGCATGTAAGTTATGTGTGAGGTGCCAATGATAAACAGTATCAGAAAATTTTCAAAAATATCTGGTCAGTCAGGAGCTATAAATCTAAAAAATATCTGGCCATCCAGAAGCCATACAATATCGAAATAAATAAAAGTGACACAACACTGTAAGTACAGTTTGAATATTGTTCATATGTAACCCCTTGTATAGGCATCCTAGGGGACCAATACTAAGAACAGCCTGTTATTACCTATGTAACCACTGTAAAGCATGATGAGAGATGAGAAAGACTGTTAGCGTAAAAGTTTCAGGTCAAAGTTTATTTTATCTGGACTAGTTTAGGTTAAATTGAGAGTTATGTTTGTACGTTAAATTGAGGGTTATGTTTGTACATCAAATTAAACTAAACCAGTAAGCTGAGAAGGCTATTGGTCTCCAAGTAGCCAATCAAAGTCCACTGCCAGAGCAGAGCGGTGAGCACTATGTCCATGAAATGTAATTAGCTTCCACTAGACTTGTTTCATATCATTGACTTTTGCAAACTGTCATATCACGTGGCCACTTTCTGGGAAGCTAGATATACTACAGGTACCTTTCCTAGAGCAGAGGAAAAGTCTGTTACAAGATTAGACATTTGTCTTGATATCGACGATAGAGACAAATTCTGCTTAAGCAGCTACAAGACCATACGGAAAAAATCATAGCATATCAATAACCAATTAACAATCTAATGCAAGAAACTGCTAAGCTAGTTACCTGAACAAATTCAACGAAAGCAATACGTGTAGAGTGTATATTATCACCGAGAAGTCGTAGACGAGAAACCTGTACAAAATAGTTAACTGACTAGCAAAGAACTATTTTAAATGATTATTAAAAAAAAACGAATTTGAGGATAGTAGTCTGACCTCACCACAGAAATGCTCAAACAAAGCTTTGACATCTGTTTGAGTTACCTGCAATAAATATAGTAGGCTATGGTAATGAAAAGACTGTTCCATTGGATCTGTATAATTGCTACTATAAATCTGCTTCTGCTAAGTAATCCTTGGAAGTAATTTATGATAGCATGCTAAGAAACATATGGGCCAAGCCAAAGGAAACAGAAGCCAATGTACCTTTTTGTCGATGTTTGTACAGTAAACTGTCCTTATGACCATGTCCCTCTCATCCTCAGACTGCTTAACATCTCAACCATTAGTAATATTTAAAAATAATGAATAGCATGAGGAAATTCACAAGGCAATCCCCATATTGTAAATTTCAGGCAATTTAGAACAATATCTATAAAGCAGTAGAAATTTAGGTATGAAACAAATTCACTGGCTTACCTTAGGAAGAAACTTTGGATTCACAGGCACAATTGCAGTCTTTGAAGGCAAGACCTTGACTGGATAGAAACCAAGCACAGTCCCACCAAGATTTAGAGCTGTCCTTGCACCATCTATGAGCAAATATCCATAGTGTTAAAAGGTTCTTGATAATCATATGTTCGAAAGGATGGGTGTTGTGACTTGTGTGCACTTACCTTCATCTGAAAATTCTATAAAGGCAAATCGCAGAACTGAATGGGGGTCACCACAAATACGGCAATCAACTACCTTCAGTACAGAAATCTTACAATGATCAGAAAGAGAAAAATGTGGCGAAGTAAACCCATATAATCCCTGCATTTCTACAGTGATAGGAAAAAGAAAAAGCAACATGTGTGCCATGAACTGAAAAACATGATTCCACAAACAGGCACTAATTGTGAATGACATTTCTTACCTTTTCCTTTGATACCAAACAAATTTGCTTCATATAGTCTCACTTTTTCCTTACATAGATTCATACTCACTTTCTCCTCACATAGTTTATACTGGCTTTAACTCAGGAAGGCTTTTGAGAGTATTTGAGTCTTCCTAACATTATAGTGATGTACTGATGATCATGGATGCACACTCCTATAAAGTGTGCATTTTATAGAGCAAAAATTGCATTTTAAGAACACAACTCCGGTGCATACTAAGTTGCTGAGGCTGCTTATGTCCATGACAACATAACTATACTTGATGTCCTTTTTGTTGTATTGTGTTCTCACTCTCTTCCATGTTTCACAATGTCGTGGCCCCTTGGGCAAACTCTATGTAAGGCTTTAAATGGACCATACAATTCAAAATCCAACTGGGTAAAATCTTGATGTGGGTCAAGTTATCAACCCAATATATTGATATGTTGGTCCCAAATGAAATCAATAAATTGCCCACTTTTGCCCAGATATTGTGCCTCCACAAACAAGCTAACAACCTCATCACTAGTGTCAATAAGATCCAATTATTGGTGGTGACAATAGATTGTTCCTCTGAGATGATACAATTCAAAAAATAATGGTTACAAAATCAGAAATTAGCCGTTTCAACAAATACAAATATTTGTAATTTGTTGAACTGGTTCAGAATTATTAAGAGATTAGTTGAATGATCATTTTTTTACTTTAAAAGATACAAAAGTAACTTGCATCAACAAAAAGAATATCTCTGCTGAAAGTATAAGTTGGATTGAAGAATAATTGACGCACGAAATTTCTTAAACGGAAAAGAATAGAAAAAGAGTAATGTTGTTGATCATATCACCATCCTTGTATGATATATTCAAATAATCTTTAATTATCGCAGTTTGAGAAACTTACTTGGCCACAGGTAGAAAATATCTCAGCGAGCTTCTCTTCAGTCACCTGATATTCGTTAGACAACAGTTCATGTTAGCACAATTAATACAATAGCATATATTACTGATTAAAGAAGCACCAATACAGCTTTAGCAGTTGGACAATGGCAACAATCACAACAGTTCATGTTAGCACAATTAATACAATAGCATATATTACCAATTAAAGAAGCACCAATACAGCTTTAGCAGTTGGGCAATGGCAACAATCACAAGTACGACGATGATGTTAACGGAGGGTCAAAGCAGAAAATTTATATACTCACAAGCTGATCAATGTCAGAAACATAAACAGTTCGCCTAATGCTATCCTCTCTGTCGGCCCTTCGAACCCTTTCATTCATCCTTCTTCGCCCCTGATTATAGCCATTTCTTCTCTGGCAAAGAGATAAAATGGTACCCTTGAATCACAATAAGGTTTAAAACATCAATAATTTTGCTCGGAGAAAAAGGGAAAAAAGTGGGAAAAACCTAAATTATTGATAAAATACAGCAGATCGCAATACGATCCAGTCAAATTCTCTAGTTTCCCCTATTCCCGTCCTAGTTTTCTTGAAAATGAATTGACAACTCCTAAGATAAAACCCAAAACCCTAAAATTACCGATTCCTCGACAACATTTTCTGAAATAGATCAGACGAGGACGGAATCTAAATCGATACGAAAGAAATTACCCTGCGATTCGGCTGATTATTCGATGATCCATCGCTGCTCGAATCCTTAATGCTACCACCGTTACTAATCAGTCCATCGCTATATAAACCACTCGACGCCACAAAAACAGGGGCATCAGCTGAAAGCCGGACATTGGATTTCCAACCATCGCCGCTGTTCGGCCGATTATTCGATGATCCATCGCTGCTCGAATCCTTGCTCCCACCACCATTACCAATCCCTCCATTGCTATAAAATCCATTCGACGCCACGAAAACAGGGGCATCGGCCGAGAGGCGGCAGTCAGATTTCCGGCCACCGCCGGCGGCGGCGGTGCAAGAAGAAGGGACGAACTCCTCAGCGGCGGGGTTCAATTTGGAGAGCAAATCAACCAGCTTCAGCACGTCGCTCCGGTACTCCGCATCCGCCGCCGGGGCCTGGCGGCGGACGAACTGATCGTCCGCCCCCACCGCCTTCTCCGCCACAGCAGCCATTTATTTATTCCCTCTACGACAAAAAATCACAAACACCCACAAGAACCGCCGGAAACCCGATCGAGTTTCCACAATTCAATCGCAGCAACCGAAGAAGCCAAGCGATCGGCCAAACCTCAGCAGAAATCCATCTCTATCGCCATTGCCTGTTCGCTCTCTCGCTCTTTTCTCGAGCCCTTCTTGGAGCAAAAATGGGGACGAGATGCGGATTCGATGATGGGAGAGAAAGAGACGGTGAAAGGGGGTGATGAGTTGTTGCTATAAATAGCAACTAATTCCAAAATTGCAGTCTTTTAATTCGAGCTCTAATTCAACATATAATTTTTTCAGAGAGACAAAAAAATAATACATTATATTATATATATATATATATATATATTATATTTTTATTTTATTTATTATTTATATATTTATTTTATTTTTAAAATAAAATATTATGTAATGTGAGAAAAATATGAGGTTAATTGGTGGAATTATTATGTCTAAATGTTGGACAAATATGAAGAAAATTGACATTGATGGATGGAAATGGGAGTAAGTTATGAGCTAGTGGTGATGGCATGTGTGACATTGCTTGTGTCTCTTAGTTCTTATTTTTCTTTCCACATTGGAATGTGGAGGTTGGTTGGGGGGAGAAGTTGGACCATTAGGTGACATTTATTAAAGCGAGAAATGGTTGGTAGTGGGCCCAATTAGACAATGTAAAGAACATATGGGGTGTTGATGAGTGTGATGTGTGAGAGAGAATGGCACCCAATTTTGCTAAGTGGAGATCAAATGGTTCCCATGGGGGTTGAGAAGTGTGCCATCTTGATTAGAAGAATACACCTATGGAATGATATATCGACTAAATTGATGTAATAAATCTATGCAATAAGAATAAAGCATCAATAGGAGTGATTCTTTATTTGCATTTTTTTTCTGAATATTAAATAAATGTTAGATTTGAGTCTATGCAAGAGTAGCTTATACTTAGTTTGATATAATAAAAATAGTGAAAATAGCAAAAATTATACTAACCATATTATTATTCTTTTTTTTTTTCTGAAATGATAAAGAGAAAAAAATTCGATCTAAATGAAAATTCATTAAGAGGGTCTTAAAATTGTTACCTTAGTATTTCAAAGAACAAGTCTAAGGAAGAAAAGGATATAATATTCTAGAATATTCTTGAAATAAAAAATAATATTTTTTAAATTTATGTTACATGACAAATACAATTAATTAGGCTCTTATTAACTATATTTCCTAAGTAACATCAAATATATGGATTGGGATGATCAGAATGCAAAGAAAGTGAAGATAAAATTGAAGTATAATTCTTTCTAAAATAATAATAAAATATAATCAATTTTTTATCTTGAACTTTACCTTTTTTTTATATGAAATATTTTGGAGCATATAGCATTTTGGAACATATTAAAGAACAAATACGAAACAGAAGCTCAAACGTCGCATTTGACGTTGTATATATTTCATTCTTATCCGTAGATATAAAAGCATATAACAAAGCTCTCGATATCATATCAAACGGATAGAAGGTGACGTGGGATCCAAAACATAATATTATCCATCCATTTTTGAATAACCACTAAACATAATCTAAAGCATCGTGAGTTCTAAGCACAAAGGTCCATATAATCCGATCACTTCGTTTATATAATAACTTGTCAGGTCTCGACATAGAATGACATCTTAAATTATACTAAAATTATTTTATCTCATCATATATATAAATATTTCATTTATTAAGATTTTAGTACATTATTTTTCAACCATTATATAAGACTCGATTTTATAAACTCTACTTCTAAAATCTTTTCAAAATATAAATTTAATCTTTATATTAATATATTTTAAAAGAATTAGTTAATATTACGACTTGTTATGACGGTGATGGAGGATGGATGGGTACGGCCATTAATGGAGTTTCCGTGAAGCCGACAGTACTCGTAAATGAAACGATGGGTGTCCTTATCAGCCTAAAATTGTGTGTGTGTGTGTGGGTGCGTGGATGACCAGTTTGGCACGGAAAGTGAGGTGGAGAGGGAGCGTTCTCTGCCTTCACACTTCACGAGGAGGAAAGCCCGAAGGCAGCAAAGGGTGTTTGAGATTTCTACGAGGTTTAGTCATGTTGATTATGGTGTGTTCTTTGCACGTATGTTTGAGACAAATGGCTGACGAACACTGATGTGTGTGCCTACGTTTTAATTCGTCATGGGAAAGGTTTTTATTGCTTTTCTTGTTGCAGGTTTTTCTCCTGATTCAATATGATAAAACAATAATGAATGCACAGTGATATTAGGGTGCAAGAATGATTTGATTCTTCGATAAAAATGAGTGAGATTTAGGACAACGGGATGTTAACTCGAAACCAATCGAGATAAGATATCGAACCTTTCAAAATGATTTGATTCTTGTAACCTTCTTTTCTCCTTCTGTGGCCATGAACACAACAGCTGAAAGAAAGAGAAGAAACACAGAGAGAAGCACTGATCATTTCATACTAACTTGTTCAGTGATTGAAGAAAGAGGATCTCCAGTTTGCTTCTTATTCTGCACGCATTCATCTTCTGGTTCTCGAGATAAACACCAGGCAATTAAACATTTGGAATCTGTCTCTTCCTTTTGCTGCATGATCTGCTGGTCATGGAGTTCACCACATATAGTACTAATTAATATGGGACAGCAGATGCCTCACCAAATGCTATACAATACTGTTAGTGAAGGTGAAATGATAAGGAGAAACGGCGCAGGGGGTCCAGAAATCATAAGCAGTGGTGCATCTGCTCATCCCATGGAGTTTACAGTAATCATAGAGAGCTTGTTCCCTTGAATGGTGGGTGGACAGAGCCAAAAGAAACTGTGTCCGTGGAACACACTACAGCAGCACTTTCCAAAGCTATAGGACTTGTTTATCGGTTTAGCAAAGCCATCAATCCTCGCTTGCACTGTAAGAACAAAACACTGCTGGAGAAAGAAGATGACTTCTATCTTGGATTTGATCTGGTTTAGCCTTATGATCAGACTCAATTGCAGTTCTCTGCTGCTCTAATGGTTGCAGAAACAAGAACAACCTTGTACCTAGAATCAAACTATGACAGTCTGATATGTGGGTCTACAAACCTCCATGAATTGGTTTCATTCCCTCCTTTTGTGGGTCAAAAGTAAGGAGAATGAGTGCCAGGAAACAGAGTAAAGCTTTGAGGGCCACCGCAACAAAAGTGAACCCAAAGATACATCTGTGAAAGAAGGAATAAGAGGGAAAAGAAAAAGATTGAAGCCATTCATGTGGCAGTCCTACGCTGGAAATCAGATGATTACACTTGAGATCAAGAATGAGGATGCAGTGAAACCCAAAGCTTTTGAGTCTTTGTCTTTGACTTTTCTTTGTTCTGTCAAAGTTGGGTCAGACCTCTCCCTTCCTTTTAGTTTGGCTGTAATGATACTGGTAACACAATATATCAAATGGGAGCCTCCTTGGGACCTGCATTACATGACTACCCTCTCCCACCTCTCCTTCTCACCTTTGCTGCTGCACCCCTAACAGATGCCTCCCAACCATCAGCTTCCCAACTCTCATGGGTTTCAGCCATAGTGTAGGGTTGTTCACCTCGCTGCTCTTCTTCCTTCTCTCGCTTCTCCTCTTCTCTTTCCCTCGTGCCTCCCTCTCCCTCTCTACCCGACAGGAAAATGCCCCCGAACCCCTCGTTTCTGACCGCTACCGCCGAGGCTTCCATCCCATGAAGCCGAGGGCTCGGCCTTATCCTTCCGACGACGACCACATGATCCAGAACAGCGAGAGGAGGAGAAGGTGGAGGAGAAAGAAGAGCCGCGGTTATCATCATGAACTCGGAGCAAGGACGTTCTCGGCAATGCTCCCGAGGGGCTTCGTTCCCCCGTCCGACTCTTCCTGGCGCCACAACGACGCACCCGACTCGATCGACCTCTTCTGCGACGACAAATCCACCTCGAGACCTTGAAGGAGCAGCCCCTAATTCGTTGCACGTCTCTTCTCCAAGTTCGGCGGCGATCTCTTCTCCTTGCTCTTGTAAGCTGTAAAGGTGATTCGTTGTTCACGTTTTCTTGTAGCATACGATCGAGATTATCAATTCAGGTTTTAGTCACAAAGATTCATGTGTGAATCCTTAATACCATTTACCCGTCAAACGCTTCTATCTTCACCTTCCACCTTCACTGCGATTGCTGTGCTACCATTGCTTTCGTTTAGTGAAGGGCGTGGGAAGGGGATTAGAACGTGGGTCTCGCATGATCTGGGGAGGTTTGGTGATTCCAAGGCGTTCTTCTTGAGTCGAGCTCTTCATGACTTGGCGTATACTCCATGCAAGCCAAAATGAATCGCTTCGTTCTCGAGGAGTCGTTCGATTGGCGAACCCAGCGGGTTCCCCAGCAAATGATACCGAGTTAACTCAGTGTTCGAAGATGCCCACCGGACCGGAATGGTGAAGCGTTCACTCGGTGTACTACGTCCACACTTTGCACCGTGTGATTCTCTCCACGTGTCCCTCGTGAGACATCATGTTATGAGTCTTAAATTCGAATATTTTAAAATAACAAATATAATTAATATGTAATTTTAGCATATTTTGCGAATAGAATGCCTTTTGAGGCCGTGTGGTTTCAATGCCGAGCACTTGTGAGCATTACCTGTTTGATTAAAAGTCTCTAAGAATCTAATACCAGCATCATACACCAACTATGCCCTGTCCAACCCCCATATCCCTCTTGTTCCTCCTCCGGCACCACCGCACGTCCTCCCTCCTCCTCTTGCTCTCTCCCCGCTCCACTTCCACCCTCGCCCACAACCGTCATCCGTGTCCTCCCTCCTCCTCCTCCGACGTCGATCTCCTCCGAAAACAGGAAGAGCAGCGGCAAGCTCTCCAGAACCCGTATGATCTGATGAAGGAAGATCCCATTCAGGTGTGCTCCGACCTATGGGTGCGCTGCTTTGGCCGTCCCGCCGACGCCCCGCCGCTTCCTAACCTCACCGGATTCCTCAAAAAGTTCGACCTCTGGGTCCTCGCCTACCAGCGCGCCTGCGCCCACCACACCGGCTCCTTCCCCCCTCGGGGTGCCATCCACCTCCCCCACCTCCGCTCCCTCCTCGCTCTCCAGGTCTCCGTCCTCGCCTCCCCCCGCCGCCCCCACCCCTGGGGCGCCTCCACCCACCTCCTCCTCCGCTCCCCCGTCGACCCACCTTCCACCCGCCCGATCTCCCGCCGCAAGTTTCAGGCCCTCCTCGACGCCGCCCCGCCCCCCTTCCAGGACCGCGTACTCCAGGAGCTCTTGCTCCTTCTCCTCGAGCCTGCGTTTGAGCCCCGCTTCTCCCCCAAGTCCCACGCCTTCCGCCCCGGCCGCAGCCCCCACACTGTCCTCCGCACATTACGCTCCCACTTCGCCGGCTACCTATGGTTCCTCAAAGCCGACCTTTCCAGCGTTGCGGACGGCCTCGGAACTGATGTCATCCTGCGCTGCGTCGAGAGGGGCGTGTCGGACCGCAAAGTCCTCAGCTTGATTAAATCTGCGCTGAGGACGCCCGTCAAGGCAGGGTCTCTGCCACGGGATCAGGAAGTGGACCGGTTGACCAAGAAGCGGATGAAGCGGAAGATGCTGAGGAAGAGAAGGAAGAAGAAGGTTCTGAACGAGAATGAACCTAAACCGGACCCTTACTGGTTGCGCACGTTCTTCGGTTTCGCTCCACGGGAAGCCACCTGGGTTCCAAATTACGGCCACTGCGGGATCCTGAGCCCTCTGCTTGCTAATATCTGTCTTAGCGAACTGGACTACTGGATGGAAGAGAGGATCGCTAAATATTTCCGTGCATCCAAGCTCGACTCCATTTGGAAGGAGTCTATCAACGATGGTTCTCATAACCCCGCTTGGCCTGAATTTGTTCCGTCGAGTGGGAATGAGAAGACCAGGAAGATGGACTATATTCGTTATGGGTCTCACATATTGATTGGAATTCGAGGACCGAGAGAGGATGCAGTGGAATTGAGGAAGGCTCTGATTGAATTCTGCGAGATCACTTATGGGTTGAGGTTAGAGAATTCAGAGATAGAGATTGAGCACATTACTAGGGGGATTGAGTTCTTGGATCATGTGATTTGTCGGAGGGTGATACACCCTACGTTGCGGTATACGGCCACAGGTGGAAATATCATAAGCCAGAAAGGTGTTGGCACACTGCTCTCCATCACTGCAAGCATGCAACAGTGCATCAGAAAGTTTAGACGACTTGAGCTTGTCAAGGGGGATAAGGATCCTGAGCCATTGCCCTGCACGCCAATGCTGTATTCTGGTCAGGCACACACCAACTCTCAGATGAACAAGTTCCTTGAGACAATGGCGGATTGGTACAAATATGCAGACAACCGAAAGAAGGTTGTTGGGTTTTGTGGTTATGTCATTAGGAGTTCCTTGGCTAAACTGTATGCTGCAAGGTATAGACTGAAGTCTCGTGCCAAGGTTTACAAGATTGCTTCACGTGATCTAAGCCATCCACTGAGAGAGAGCTCAAGGAATGATGCACCAGAGTTTTCTGATCTTCTGAGGATGGGCCTTGTTGATGCCATTGATGGTATTCAGTTCTCTCATATGTCACTGATACCTTCATGCGATTACACACCATTCCCAAGGAACTGGGTACCTGATCATGAGCTGGTATTGCGTGAATATATTAAGTTGCAAGATCCAAAGTTCTTTTGTGAATTGCACAAGTCAATAAAGCAGCAAGAATTAAGTTCGCCACAAGATGATATTTCTAAGGTTGTTTGGGATTACAAGGTTTTTGGAGTTTGGAGCAAATCACAAAGAACCACGAAAGAACAAGGGAAGTTGGAGGAGGGTGCCAATGCTTGTAGAGTTTCTTGTGCAGGATGAGATTGTACCAAGCAGTAAAGTGTTGTATCATTTCTAGATCTCCTTTCAGATGGAACATCTGTGATCATTCACTTCTTGAAGATGTAAAAATCTGAGAGTGGTTAGGTTAACAATGATAGCAGCGAACTGGACAGCACCTTAGAGATGTCAAGGTAAATGCCTCCATTTCTGAGTCCTAAGAGTTAATATCATTATGGAAATGGTGGATATTCCCTGTATTCATTTCATAACCATATAAATTTAGTGACCCCACATAATCTATATCTGATTGTCATATACACACCCATATTTTTTTCATGTTAATTTGTTTCTTAAATTTTCAATAAAATGAGATTTTTTTCCCTTCTCTAAGTCTGATTGTGTTTTTCATGTATACACACATAAATCTGCTTTAAAAAAATTTTAATTTCATTCTGGAGTTTGCTTGTGCTACTATAATAACTTGTAGGTCTTCATTTTAAATATTCTTATCCATTTCTAGAGTCAATCCATAGGGCTTTAACTACCTTGACATAGGTTGGAACAATGGAAGAACCTTAGACCCTGCCAAATTCCTATGGGGTAGGTAGGAACTTGAAAAGAAGACTGCACGTGTTAATCTAGGAGGTGAGGTCTTTCAATGTTGCCTGATTATATGGATGATTTGCCAGTATTCTAAAAGACTTTGACAATTCTCATGTATTGTATTACTGACCACTTGGGTAGCTGGAATCTGTAAGACTTTGACAATTCTCATGTACAAGAACTCAAGATCATCTCAAGCATCCGATGTGAGATTAATCACATGCTAGCACATTCATATCCACATTTTGCAGATAATTATCAGATCTCCAATATCTGGCCTTCTATTGTGTCAACTATATGTTTTTCATTCGTCATCTTAATTGAACAGTTTTCTGCTTGAAACCTCATTGACTCATCCAATTTAGTTAGACAAAAAAGAACGAAATTGCTTTTGTACTCTAGTGTCTTCTACACTTTAGAGGTTTGACAGATCACATCATGTTGAGGTGTTGATCCCCTTCATTTTCTTTGTCTATTTGCTGCTGTAATGCTGAAATCATCAACTACATTTATCTTCCATTTTTTAACACTATTTTGGAGTGCACAGAGCCAGACTAGTTTGAAGTACTTTGACATGTAGTTTGATGGTAGCTTTTAACAGCTATGTTTTTCTTATTTGAACTGTATATTATTCTACACAATTCCTTATTATGTATGATTTTCTGATTTAACTTCCACGGTAGTGACTCTTTTATACTTGCACCTGTAATTTGCAGTCTATGGTACATTTATGCTGCACAACACTAATGTAGGCACTTTTCAGAGCATTGTTCTACAGGTTGATCATTCGGTTGGTTCAGTCAGTTCTAGATTATTCATGTTCAATTTCGTCAGTCTGTGATGTATTGATCTTATCGACCGAGTCGAACCTAATTATTGAAAACTGACCTAATAAAACTAAGATTATTATTTGATCAGTTTGATTGGTTTGGTTTGCACACCAGTCGTAGCAACTTGCAAGAAGAGATGACCAGGTAGGCTTCATTCCTTTCTTGGTATGCTAAGTCGGTTCACAAAAGAAGTTTTGTGATTTATATAATGATAAAACTAAGTTTAATTTAGTTTAGACATTACCAAGTAGGAGTAAGTCATTAAACTGGGCCAGCTCAGAAGAGTTCTATCTCTATATCTTTATATGGTTTCTTTGGTTTACTCGGTTTCCATTCCACAAAGCTGAACCAAAAGCCAAAAAGTTCCTTTTATGGATACACTGAACTAAATTGACTAAGTTGCTTCTGTTCAGTTGGTAATTCAGTTTTTATTGAATGATGCCCACCCCTCTTGCTTTATGGTCACTTCATACCTCCAATAAGAGGTACAAGTGATTTTGTCATTTTTGGAAGGTAAGCAACCGCAAGTCCATTTTTTTTCCAAATATTCATTGATTTGATTCGAACATTTTCCTAGTAATAAGATTGAATCAATGACTCTGTATTTTATTCTGTCAACTGGAATAATATATGCTTCTGTTTGTAGCTAGGAAACTCTATTAAGTCTTTAGAGGCTATCAAAATCTTCTACTTATATCAGGTGTCATGTTTCAGCATTTGCATTTTTTTTATTTAACTAAGTTTCTATTCTTTTTTCAGGTCAAGAAAAAGTAATATCTTATGTTAGTCACACTATTTTACCATGGCAGTAATGCAATCTGGACGGGCGACATCAGCTCTTGACATCGAATGTAGTTAGTCATGCTCGTGATTTAAACCAGCAGAAAATAGAAAAATAATCTTGGTCATTCAGTCATGATCGTGCTAAATGCTTGTGTAGAGGTTGTTGCTTTGAGCTTCAGGTTCCACCAGGGTCTTGATGCAGATATTGCCCCTGCAGCAGTTTCAGCTCAAAGCTACAGTGTCATCACCAATCACTTGTGTTTCAGTATCATGGCTCAAGAATATGGCATGAGTTTCAACACAGAAAACATTTTATACTGAATATCCACTCAGGTGGTTCTTTTCGAGGAAAATTTACTGAGGTGATTGTGGGGATTGCAAGGGTGTAAGAAACTTTGAAGCAACATTAAATGTAAATAATGTTATCTTTATCCAACCTAGGTAGTTCTGCATTAGGGGATAGAAGGTAACAGTACTTGGTTGAAAATTTTAGCCACTCTGGAAGCCAAGTTGATTCTAATTTGTTTATGGATTACTCAGGCAGAGATTAGCAAGAGGTTAATTCCTGGTACTTGTGATGTTTGTCGTTCTACTCATTTTAGTCACATTATTAGCTGAAGTTATTTCTTTCTTGTTTGAAGTTCCAACACTCTTATGTTGTATATATGAATTGAGTGGTGCGTTATTAATAACCCAAGTTTAAGGTTTCTTATATCATGTTAATTAAGATTTACTTTGTACAAGTTATTGGGTCAATATATCAATTTGATTGTTAGAAATTGATACATGCATTTTACTTCATCTGAATTTTAACTATCAAATTTATCTTATTGAAAATTATCTGAATCTAATTTAAATAATTTGTGTAGATCCAAATAAAAAAAAATCAATATCATCTTTATGTATCCAAGGGAAAATATTTTCTGTGTTTATACATGATAATCCAATATGTGATTTATAATGTGGAATATTTCTTTCAATAGGATCAATTATAAAAAAAAAAGTCCATTAGATTACAGTAATTAAATTTATTTACTGTTTATCTATAATATTTATTCTATTTTATTATTAACTTGAATATAATTTTCTATACGTACGGATTTAAACTAAGTCTCATTAGTCTCCAACCCTAATGTCACGGATTTAAACTATGTGAAGAATTGTCATCGACATTAGTCTTCAACACTAATGTGACGGATTTAAACTACGTCGAAGTAATGTCACCGATCAACGTTCAAATATGATTTCAATATATCGGATTTAAACTACGTCGAAGTAATATCACGATCAACATTTAAATATGATTTCAACATATCAAACAAACGCGGAAAAAAAAACCCGATGCCACCCGAACTTTATTTATTACGATTTAAATTATTTGTTTTATCGATTTATTGATATACTGCGTGGCGAGAAAAAATGAAGTGCTAAAAACTGATGATACGATATCGTATCGAGTGCGACATCTCCAAATCGTTATATTGCTGTTCATAACTGTTATAAATGGCCGTTATTTACGCTTCTTTTCCTCTGTCGAAACAAGCGCCCTCTACTCGTATTATCGTCGCCTCTTCTTCCATTCCCTATCGCCTTGGGGTTGTCTTCCGGATCTCGCCACCAATCTCCTTTCGAGGTTCTTCCATCTCGGCCTTCTTTAATCAGGTTATATAATGTAGTTTGTTGCGCGATTATTTTCTGGTAAGTAGTATGTTACGCCATTGCCGTGCTTGCATTCGTCCTCGTTCGGGAACTCGCTGCGTTCTAGAGATCAGTGCTACTGTTGGAGCCAAACCTTTAATCCCCCGACGTTTAAACCGATCGCTGCTGCGTCTTTTTCAATCTTGACATTTAGTCATTGCTGATTGATAGGTAGATATAATGGCAAACATGTCATTGGAGGTCCATAACGAGGACTGCAGTTTGAGGGATTTCGACTTTTCTTGAATGTTCTTTACCTTGTTTTTTTGATCTGAACTTGTTTTGGACATTCCTGTACGGCACTCAATTTGACAGATACAATGAATGGGATGTTTCCAGATCCTTGAGTTAGGTAAGAGTCTTTAGAGAGACTTCCATGTAAAGGTGAACTCTGGAGCATCCGTATCTCTTTATTTGGAGACAACAAAGTTTTGCTTTGCACAAGTATTCAACACCTCACGACAAAGAAAAAGGAACATACTTTATTCAACTGGACTCTCATCCTTTCTCAACTCGTTTATGGACAACCTAAAACTCCAATGACCCTCATGAGTCTATATTTCTCATGTAAATTCAAACAGAATTGCTTGCGGCATGAGCAAATCCATGTTATCTTATGTGTTTACAAAGGAAATCTTGTCGGTCCTGCAGCTTGCAACATCTGCTTTGTCACTATATAAATATAGGGACAGGAAAAGCTAGATTTTGCATGATCGATTTTGGATCTCTGCTTTGTCACATTGTGTGGACTTCTTGAGTTCTACATATTGAGGTTAGTATTGAAAATGGTGATAAGAACTTGTAGATCATGGCATCTTTCATGAGTAGCCATCATCAGCTTCTGTGACCTTTTTATGGTAAAATAACTAAGATTCCTTACAACTCTAGGAGAAATAAATGGTCTCCATCTCGAACAACTGCAATGTCATCTATTTCTGCGTTATCTTGATTGACCACCTTTGTTGGTTGATAACCAGTGAATTTCTGACCTGCACTTGCACAAAATAAAGTTTCAGACAACACTGTTAGATAATAGTTTGATTTAATGCAATAGCTAAACCCTGTTCAATTCATGATTTATAGTTTTATGGAGATGAAGTATCTGCTAAGATCTAATCCTTATAGCTTTGAGTTAGAAGAAAAAAAAAAAAACTAACTTCAAACTTAATTAAATTTTACTATCCAGCTTCAATTCAGGGTTTCATCACATATTTTAGCTAAGTCAAATAATACTTACTAGCAGTTTTAAAGAGCTCCTCTAAAGAACCAGGTAAGTTTATGAGCTTCCTGATCTGTTCTCTTGAACTTCTTGACTTTCTTGAAAGCATATGAATGATGACCCTTTTGTTGGTTGTTTGAGTGTCACTGGTATTGACTGCACTGCTTCCAAGGTCTGAGCTTGTCTTCTTCATTTTGTCAGGAAATTTTGACTGCATCAGTTGCTGGAATCGTTCCTGCTTTATTTCGGTCGTGGTGTTTGTTCTATGTATGTTTGCTACTTGATAATTCTCTATTATGGACATTCTGTTTCTGTATCTTAATGACAATTCATAGCTACCATCATAAGCATCTTTCTCTGTCAAAGCTGTTGATGTCCCATTGCTGTCATTTACTTTGTCCATGTTTACTCCTTGATCCAGAATAATGATTTTGCAGTGAGCTGTTTGGTCATCCCTGTGCTCTGCTGCATATCTTTCTGCATCGTTTAATTTTATGCCATAACATACTGACTCTTGAGGTGTGCATGGAATATCTCCTGTCTCCATTGATCTCCGTGTTGGTTGTTCTTGAACTTTGTAATCTTGGTGTTGCGAAGAGAGGCTCTGATTTTCTTTTTTGAGCCATTCATCATGTACTCGTGGACCATTTTCGTCTACTCTGGTAGATGGTCTTTGTTCTAGTTTCATTTTCTGTAAAATGGCATCAAGAAGCATGAACTTCTATTTTTATATAAACACTTTCTTGATGGATTTAGGATGTAGCTCCAAAAAATACCTGTAAAAGATTGTTCCTAATGGTATTCCCATCTTCTGTATTCTCCTGAAACATGTTCATGAATGTGGTGCTGCTCAGCCTTAGAATTTGTGAGAGTTCAATGGTGCGTGCAGTAAATGGTTGTGGCATGCAACATAGGACTCCTATCTCCCCAAACACTTCTCCTGCAGCTACCCTTTCGTAAACCTGTTGACACACACATGCACACTTAGAGACATGCTTTTAGCATGTATATTTATGAAGAACATAATAATAATAACTTACTTGTTCAGTTCCACCAATATTTGATATCAAATCCTGTGTTGAAGCCATATCAACAAATAAATCAACTTATTGTTGTTAAATATGAACAATTTTACATGAGCAACATAAATTATTTAATGAAGCACCCAAACCTTTACTTACCACTGCTCCTGATACCAATATGTAAAGATCTGTTGATGCCTCATTTTGCAGTATTACATCTTCCTTTGGTGGAAAATACTCAGCTTGCATTTCTGTAACCTATTTCTTGCAAAAAGTGGTATAAATATATTGGAAATATCATCAAAATGTTTGTCATTAGAGGCAGGTATGAGTGCATACCAGTTGATAAAGGAAGTTAAAGGAAACCCCATGGAAAAGTTGGACTTGTTGTAAAATTGGAAAGAACAAGCAATATGCTATGCTTGAACTAATGCCCTTTGGTAGATCATTCAAAGTTTCTTGCTGTTTTAGTCCTTCTGTCTTGAATCTTAAGCATATGTGAGATAGCATTTGATCCTTGATACGCTGGGGCAACTGATTTCTTGCTGCAAATTCCAAAGCAGCCTGGATTGTGTCTCTCTGTCGCATCAAATAATTGTCAGCAGTGGATGACAATGAATTTAGTAATCACCTTTAATCAAACCTGAGATATCTTTTCTTAAAGCTGCTTTCTAAATGAATGTTAATCAGGTAAACAACCTTTTGTGTAGCCAACATTGATGGTAGGATAAAGCTACATGTCTAAGCTTATTCTATAACAAATTGACTGGCTTTTCTGAGAATTTAAATACAACTGCAGACTTGTTAATCTATCGACATTCTTGTAGGATGGAAGAATAACTACACAAAATGAAAATTGTTTTAGTTTGAAATAGAAATTAAAATATATTTTGGTTCCTGAGAGCCATATATCAATAATCGAATATATCTATTCCATGAGCGTTAGTTTATTCTAAGAAATCTGCTTGTGCTTGCAGCTATTTATCTCCTAGTTTTTTGAACTTTATAAACAGGTAACCTGGCATTATGAGGCAAGTGATAACAATTTTTTGGCAATTGGTAGAAGGAACAACACGTACGAAGTTTCGGGTGCGGCTGGTGCCATGTACAACAAGGTTTGTCATGTTTCCAATGAGGTAAGCTGTCAATCCCAAATTAAACAGCATGTAGAAGATGTCAAAAAGCATTTCTCTTGAGTTCTCAGCATGTAAGTCACCATATCCCGTTGTTGTCAGTGTTGTAATGGACCAGTACATTGCAGTTACATATCTGGTCCACAGATTTTCTGATCTGAAGTTTGAAATCACTGCACCTATCCATGTTCTCCTTGGATTAGGATATCGATCAGCAATAAGATAATTGAAGCATGCAGCAGAGTGTACAGCAAAGAGAGTTACCTGAAGCCAAACACAGAAGTTGCAAGCAAATTATTCACTGATCATGCTTGTTTAGAAATAGAAAGGAAGTGAAAATAGGCCGAAGGCTTACCAAGATGAGCTTTGTGCATCGTGTCCAAAAATAATTGAACCTGATATCCTTCTCAAGCCTATCAAAAGAAAATGATATATAATGACTATCCATTTTCCTTGTTCATCAGACTTTGAAGATACTGGAGAGGATGCAGACCTTGAAAAAAGGGAACTGACCCGACGTAGCCGCCACAGTCTAAGCATGTTGAGTATTTTAAAACCAAGGTCATTCCCACTGC